TGAGTTGTTGTTTCAAAATCTATTGTTGCAAGTTCATGCATGCTCATGGGTGTCAACTGCTTAATACCAATCACTCCATTCAATCTTCCCATCACACTCTCAAGGGTAATTGCAAGTGGACGGTGGGGACATGTTAACACTTGGCACCCCATCTTTTTATGCATATTTTGTCCAATTGTGAAGGAACAATGACTCCACCATGTTTTCCCATCTCTTTCATGATGGACACCAAGCAACCCATGTTTCCACTTCATTCACTCCGCTTATCACAACATCTGCAATAAGCAACTCCACATGCTCCAGCAGTTACTGGTGATAGACCTTCACACACCTTCCGTAATTTATGAGCAATTGGCAAAAGTTGACAAATTCATGCCTAAAAACGTGGAAAAACACCCCATGAAATTGAACCAAACATTTATAGAATATCTTTCCATGACTAGATTCATACTCCAAATGTATCATATTAATGATTGTTTTCAAGGTTGGAGCCAATGGGGGAGGACCCACCTTGAATTAATTTAAAGCCAAAATGGAGGTATTTGAGAGGTGGGAAGAGGCAATAAGGTTTGGTGGTTTTCCATATTGTGAAGCAAAAAAGTGGGCAGGCACGTGTGAATGCAGCTGACCTTTTGGTAGAAAGCGTTATACGTATTTCTAGGTCGTGCATTTATAACCACTATGTAGCCATTGAGACCGCGATCTACGAGTATAAAAGTCTTCAAGTACGTATCCATACACCATATAATTGGATATTGTCTCTCCCTTCGATGGGCCTTGGCCTGGTACGGCCCGCGGAGGTAGGCGCCGGTTCGACGTCCGACAGAGTGGTCGGTGATGGGGCGTGTTTGGCGGTCGGTCATGGCCACGCACTTCCTGGCGCTTCATTCATCCATTTGGTGATAGATGAGGACTACGGATCCTTCATTCGTTCGTACTTCCGTCATGGGGAGTTCAAGATATGAGCACGGAGGTGTTGCTGGGCACAACAGCGGCGTGTGGGAAGCCCGATGTCGACAACGGTGCTGTGACTTGGTGGTGGAGCGGGGAGGGTGGCTGAGTGGAGTGAGTTAGGAAAGTCGATGTGCTTCTTTTTTTCCCGTTTTTTTGGTTTACAATCTGGACAGGGCTGGAGAGGTTATTGAAAATGTAGAAAATGAGTTGAAGAAACATTGTTGTCCTTAATTTGTAGTCTTTCTCGGTTCGTTGAAGACAAGATTTGACAATACTTTTGCTGCGCCTTTAAGGTCAGGAGTTTTTGGTCGGGGGTTGTGATTGTAGGAGAAAGGCATCGAAGTATCTGAGGAACGGACTGTCGATGTGGTGGGATGTAGTGGAGTTTCGTTTGTTGAGATCGTGGTTGTTTACCAACTCGTGCAATGCATTTCGGTACCTTGCTGTCTATTAGCATTCTTTTCCGACGTAGAGGTTAAAAGTGCTCTTGTAGAGCTGTAATGATATTCGGAGTGGCTCCCTTCGGAGACTCATGGGACCTGGCCTATATATGGACTAGTTTGTTCGATTTATTGAGAGATAATACATATTGCTACACCGAACATCGCTGCTTGTGCATCAGCGAGTCAGCAATCTGTATTGATGTCGCATTCGCACTAGTGATCAATCCAACGAAACCAACTGTTTCTCAAAGGATGTTGTAGACACAGTGGCTTCAGGGCCACCGCGTAGCAGCGGATAGTGACTGTCCTTTGGAGACTACAGGAAGGAGGAGGTTGCGGTTCCCCATGCATTCGGACTGTACTATTCAAGAGTTGCACAGGAAGCTGGATTTCAGAATGGCCGTAGGTGTCGGCTCCATCGGTTCCCGTAAGTGAGCAATGAGTACCTGATTGTGTTCAAACTTTTGGCGCTCAAGTATCGTGCGTCTGTCCTGAACTGGTAACTTCGCACATGTTTGGGTAACCCATGGTATAATATGACATTAATTTTGTATGTTTGTGATAGGCCAATCTTACTGTTCTTTTACTTTTTTTGGCTTCACATAGTTACGTGCGATGTTTTCAGACAGCGTCTCTCAAGTTATGTTCAGTAGTTCTTTCATCAGCTACTCTTGAATACGCTGTGATGTACAACATATTACGACGGCTAGATGAACAATTACACGCCCTTCTCCACACGAAGGTGTGTTTGTCGCGCATTGCAGGTGCGAAGTAGGATGCACTGTGGTCGAAACGCATCAGTAGATTTTCATTGTGACGCAGAAAGATATTGGACACTTACGTGTTCACCTACATTGCACCTGAAACTATGGAGCAACGCATGCTGTAAATTATACATTCGTAGCTACTCTTGCATGGTGTGATTCCGACTGATCATTTTGCATTGGAACCTGTGCAGATTGTTGGCTGCGTAAGTCGTGTAGCTGGACAACGATATCCTGGACTGATGGCTAACCAAAAATGAGGGTCGCTGATCGATACCTTCCGATGTACCGATTCCGCAGGCTGTGGTGGTTTTCTTCGTCTTGAATTTCACCCTTAGGCCGCGTGCTCACTCGCTCAACTCTGTCAATTCTGATACTGGACTTTCTAGCATTTGAAGCCAGTACCATAGATTTAGATTTTAGCCACGTCCGAAAGTAATGAGTGCAGGGATTTTTGCAAGCCAGGCAGTTGTGTTAGTGAGACATGTCCTTTATTTCTTTGAATCTTGTAAGAGCTCGGCAGACTCTTCATTTAAAACTGAATCGAGCTGTCTCTAAACCTGAAATTCCTTAAACAATCGGTTTAATCTCAGTGTCGGCTAATCTGCTCGGCTTGCAATCGTACACCACAATTATTTGTACATGAGGCAATGGATTCGAAATGTAAGAGAAATTTTAATCAGCGAAGTTCTTGATTCGGTTAGAAATCGTCTCTACGATTGAACTGGATAAAATTGCGAGTCAGCTTTTGAAACAAGAGTTGCGACTGATGAACTGATCGTTATGTGCTCTTGGTCCAATGTTTGTATATTAGAAAATTGTTTGGACCAGTGAACTTAACCAGCATCGCAAGGACTTTTGATTATGCTGAAAGCTATGTAGTTAAGAAAGAAGGTGCCGCCGTAAGAGAACTGATTGTCGTGACCACGAGCAGAATGTATGAGCAGAGATGCTGGCGGCCAGTGATCGTGAGAACCTTCAACACTCAAAAAGAATAGGTTCTGTTGTATACCTCAGCAAGCTAATCAAGAGGACACCCCCCCCCCTGTCAACTAATTCCTGACGAACCATATTTTTTTAGGGTTAGGGCGAGCGTAACTGGCACAACATCCATCCTGATTTCAGAGCGTCCGTTCGCATTCACTCTTCAATGCAGTGCCATTTGAAAGAAAGAGTGCCTCGGGATCATCGCCCTCTTCTAACGTGTCTTAGGTACGCCTTAAGCATCATAACGCGTCGACATGAAATGGCGTGCAGACCAGATTGTAAAGCTGCTGGAGCTAGTCGGTCGTGCAACCTTTTGCAGCCAAGAAACCCCCCCTCCACCTTATCCGACGCAATTAATAACGACCATTTTCTTCCTGTCATTCTCTGTCACAACGTTAATGTATGTACCTGAGATGATTACACTGTCCGATCGCTGCAGCTTGCTTCACTCACTTGGGGTTACTAAAACCTAGGTACCTTGGATCCCTCAACCGAATTTTCAGACAGAAAATTCATATGCTTCCGTGATGTGAGCAAGATAAATATGTATATATATATATGTATATAGAAAACAAAAATAAGGATGAACTAATTGTCTGTAGAGAGTACAAAAGTTGCTGCTGAGTTCTGGGTAAGAGCTTTTTACTTGCAGCAGAAGGTATATGTAAGATGGTGTCTGTGGGCACCTTGCGTGATTAGAGAACGATGTCAAACTATTGATTGTGAGTCTTGGGTTGCACCGTTGGAGTCAATCATAATCCACGAGAGCGTAATTACCAAGATCACCAACAGCGAGGCACCATCCTCGACATGATGCGGCCATTACACAAGTCCCCTCACTACTCAATCGAGATCAGAGACGTATGTAAATTTCTATCCCCTCTCGCTTTTTACCTTTTCCTTTTCTTGTGACACAGAACTGGGTGCACATCATGCTTTGATCGAATATTTTGCTATTGCTGATTCTCTCTCTCTCCCCCCTACCCTTTTAATTTTAATCTTTATAATCTCTTCTTTTGTTTCTTTTATTTTCACATTTAACAGTATGGTAATGTAATGGCTTTTCAGGAAATTGGGAAATGACGTACAATACTTGGAGCACAATGGCTATTCTTATGGTTCCACTCATTTGTCTGATTTTCGTCTAAAGAAAACAATTATCAAATTCGATAACACTTCTAAAGTTCCCATTTTTAAAAAAAGAAAGAAAGAGAGTTGGACCATTTTAGAAAGGCTCAGGTGAGGCAACATAATTGCACATTGCAGACACAATCTGATTTGTTCTTTTTAGCAATGTTTTCTATGTTTACCACCGCTCAGTTGCATGATGGGAACATGAACAATGTTACACTATCACAGATCGAAGCAATGACACCAAATTCAGTAGAAAACTCGAATCAAGCGAGGTATGCCAAGCAAACTTCGCAGCTCTTCTTCAGGTGGGTAAGCAAGCAACATATATTTCTTCTTCAGAACCGAAAGAACAAAACCCCGAGACAGAGAGAGCAGGGGAAGAACTCAACCCAACCAACCCACAACCCCATGTTGGAGGAGAGTGGTCAAAGCCAGATCTTGGGTATGCTATTTTTAGACAATTCGAAGAAGGAAAGTCCAGGATTAGCATGGACTCAACAATAACACGCTGCTCATGAGAGAGGGAGAGAGAGCATCGCACTCTGACTGGCACATCACACAATCCCCTTGACTTTAATCAAATTAGCTGTATAATCTTTTACGAGAATACTGTGTCCCTCATGCGACGTCAGGCCAAGAGAGAGAGAGAGGGGGAGGATGAGGCTTACGAACCGTTCAACTCCCCAGAAATTCGTACACTTGTTTGTCAACTCGGGCAGTGAACAACTGGTGTCTGCCCTGGGCCAGTTCAACTGTGCCCGGGGCTCGAGTTCACGAGTAACCGAGTTTTCGTGTAGGGTTTGGTGCTCCAGTCTGCTCTCGGGGAACGCATTTCCACGTCGCCAGAACGCGTGATGGAGCCCCAATGGCGCAATTCTCTTTTCTGTTGTTTCATGTGTGCATTTTCTGGGAACGGCGGCTCTCCTCCTCCTCGCCTTTCGCTCTCTCTCGCCCCTCGAGTTCCACCACTGGATCGTGTCTTGACGGAGGTCGCATCCGGTGAACTGCGCTGATCCCCGCGATCTCGGCCGACCTCCCCTGATGGTAGCTGACGATTGACTCCATCGTACAGGATAGGAGACGCGTTTATAGAAACACTCTTCCTCGTGTGGGATTGGATTTAAGTGCGAGTGTCATGACGTTCGACGGAGAGTGTTCGGAATATTTGTCGAGAAGTTGAGCGCTTCTGGGAATGTGAGCACATTTTTGATGGGCGGGGACGTGTGGGAAATATCTCTTGGATTGTTGAACTGTTGCAGTAATGTGAACTTGGGTGCCTAGCAGCTGCGTCAAGTACGCTGTGAACCTTGTAGAATTCAATTTCGTAGCGACGAAGATGTAACGAATCCCATGAAGTGCAAGAACCCAGCTGCTCATCACTAGTAAGCGTCTCTCGCAGTTGGGGCGTTGCAGGAATCTTGTGTAACGGGCGATGTAGCAGTAGCACTCAGATTTCGCTGAGGGCTTTCTTCAGCTGAAACGCTGTGAATGGGAGTTAGAAAGAACAGCGAACAAACAGTGCTTCACCTTCCTTGTAAAATCGTGATTCAGCACTATAGTTACTAATCATTCGGCAGCTTGGGATATTCCCGTCTTGAATAATATTGATGGCAGTGTAGTAAGTTTGGCTGTTCGAAACACAGAGAGTGATTTCTATCCTGAGGTGCACTTACCCTTCTCTCTGAATTGGTTGTAAAATTAGTTGCTGAGTTGAGATACTTCAAAGATGGAAAGAGAACACTCGGTCTTGAAGGTTGAGGCAGGACGGGAGAAAGCGTGTTCCAGGCCGCAGTTGGGATGTAGCACACCTATCAAATTCTCTACTATCCGATTGAATATCATCTATCCTATGGTGATGGCAATTGTGCTGTTTCTCGTCGTCACCCAGCTCTTGTCTCTCAGCGGCTTTGGCATCAAGTTCTGGTGCACCGAGACGACAAAGGTTGTCGGGTTAGAAACGCAACTATCACCTTCTCTCCCACAGGGTTCATTTCTTGACGAAAACATCGACACGTCTTCCATAGATTTACGTCACGGAGATGTGCGATTGTTTAAGCCGCACGGACTGGCAACATACTTGTACATTGACATGAGTGCCTATCGAGGAAGCCCGAGGCACTTCTCCATTGTTGGATTGACCGCTAAATCCATAGAAAAGCATCACAAACCACCCTATGCTTGCGAGTGGGTATCAAGTTCCAACGACAAGGTAGTCAAGGGTCACGCATACAAGATTTTGCCTGATTGGGACTACGGCAAGCTGTACACAGTTGTGGTGATCACTTGCGTGTTTGCGGAGGATGTCGGAACAGATGGTGAGGGTGGCGAACTCGTTCTGTATGCCAGCTATGGTGACCGGTACAGGCAGCCGGAAAGAGTCGTGGTGCTTACAGAGGTGAAGGGGGAGTACAATTCGAGCGTCTTCGATACGAAATCTTTCCCTTATGACTATGTTTACTGTGGTTCATCGGTTTACGGCAACATCAGCCCTCAAAGAATGCGGGAATGGATGGCCTATCATGCGAAATTCTTTGGTGAGAAGTCGCACTTCATTCTTCATGACGCCGGTGGCTTTCATGAGGACGTGCGCAAGGTGCTTGAGCCTTGGATTAGACAAGGAAGAGTTACCCTTCAGAACATTAGGCAACAAGAGATTTACGACGGGTACTACCATAACCAATTCATGGTGGTAAATGACTGCCTCTTTCGATCTCGATTCTTGGCGAACTGGACATTCTTCTTCGACATCGATGAGTACATGTATGTAGATCCCAGCACGACTTTGTCGGATGTGCTCAACGAGAAACCCGATGTCTCGCAGATTGTCATAAAACAGGTTCCGATTGAGAGTGGCTTGTGTGTCGCTGACAACACTAGAGATCAACACGAAAGGTGTGGAATCCTATCATGTCTAATCTCCTTTAGGGTACAATTTAAACCTAACAAGTGCATGTTTTAGTCTGGGTTAGAAGGGTGTTTTCTTATCCAGGCGCAGAAAGAAACCTGAACGTGGCCAGAGTGGTGTGAACGTGCGCAGATGGTTAACTGAGAGACTCATTTATCGGAGGGTTTTGAAGCACGGAATTCATTATGACCGCAAGTATGCTGTGCAAGCTCGTCACGCCGAAGCAACTGGAATTCACATGTCAATGAACTTGCGGAGAGGAAAAACTCGTGTCTTGCAGGATGAACGACTTCGTTATTACCATTACCACGGCACCATCACAAACAGAGGTAACCTCTGCAACAAATTTGTTGACTCCAAAAACAAAACGGCTGTAAAGAGTGTCCAACTCAGGCTAGATGAGACCATGATGAAAATGGCGAAGGATGTGAAGTCATACGAGCTCAAAATGATCGGGAAGCAACCATTCGTATTGTAACTGGAGGAGATCTGATCATTGTCACCGGATCATCTTCAAAAAGCTGTTGATGAATACCAAGCATCCGTATGACATTTCCACTACTACGTGCAGGAAGGTGAACTTTATTGCACACACAGGGCTCCTCCCCAGGATGTGCAACAACGTGCACCATTTACAACAAACATCGAAGGCACGAAATCGGCCATTGTCAGCACGAATGCTGTGCACCTTCGAGCACAGAAGCTTCAAAACGAGGTTGTCTTCACTTATGAGGACGGAAGTCGTCAACTAACGAAGACCCACATCCTCACAGGAATGGATCAGCACAGCGACATAACGTGGATTGACACTATGTCTGCGTCGAAGACTGAAGCTTCGTATTCAAACCCAGTTGTGAAGCAAGTAAGCTTTTAGGGAGGTTTCGGTTTCGGTATTATCATGGTCGATAGCCCACTACTTTCGAGGCCGGCTCCTCATTGTACACAATTCCATAGATCTATCAAGAGGGACTGCAGGTTGTTGCATCATGTGCTGCCAGTTTTTTCTTTCTTTGAGTTCCTTCGCTATCAGTCACCTCTTCGTGCGATGTGTTGACACACAATCAAAGCAATATCGTTGCAAACTAGTTTCAACAGTGTGTGGAGATTCGCAAATCGTCACTGTTGTCTTTCGCCTCGTTTTCATCGTCCAGGTTGCTTGGGCTAGTCAATACTTAAACTTATTGTTATGATTACAAATGGTAGTAGTTTTGAAAGAACAAAATAATAATAATATAAAAAGAAGCATTAAAAGAAAATCAGAAGTACCGACACTAACTTTTGATTTCTAAAATAAAGTGTTCCATAGGATTTTCAACTATATGTTTTCTGAAAAGATACGTTTTTTTTTTTTTTTTTTTTTTTTTTTTTTCTTTTTGAATAATTTATGTTAAAATTTTATTCCATAATCATTACTTTTTATTATTTATATTTGCTTCAAATATTATGGTAGGTTTCAAAAAGTTTACAGATATATTATTAAAAGTCGTTCATGGTACTATACAGTCTAACAATGATATTACATGGAAAATCACTTGTTCAATTAACCGCTAATAAATACTCTCATATTTCATTTATTAACTCTATTTTCATAAATTTAATCTAATGGTAACACCAATATGTGGTATTAAATTTTCTAACATATTGTGTAATTGAATGCATTTGGATCGTTCAACTTGTGCTCTTGTAATAACACAATATTATAAGGTAGATAAGTAAATTTAATACAATTTACAGGTTTGTACATCTTCTTTGAATTATTAGATCTTTTAATATAAAAATAGGTTAAAATTTTCTTTATTAACTTCAGAAAATAAAAGAGAGAGAAAAAGAGAAAGGACAAGATTAATAATCTATTACTCAGTAATAATTTTATCAGAAAATTAGAAACACTCCATGATTTTTGTTTGATGTGTGACTTGAGCTAGTCTTTTTCTTACTTATTGACTTATAATGCATATTTCTTTGGTTTTTATATATAAACATAAACATATATATATATATATATATATATATATATATATAATTTATAAATATTTTGAAATTCAAAATATTTATTATAATTTATCCCTAAATAAACCAAAACATTCAAGATGTATTCAAATTTATTCCTAAATTATTAAAAAATGATTAAGTCCATGCCAAAAGAAAAGTTTTATAATTACTAATTTTATAAATTTGACATTGGATGATATACAGATTCTGCTTGAAAACCCAATTTTTAAAAATATAGAATGTTTATTTTCAAATTCCTATTTATTATTTATTGTGTCATTTTAGTTGGCATCTTTAAAATCTACGAAAATCTACTTGTAGCAACCAGTAAATGCCATACTTATATATTAATTAGCAATCTATTTAATATTTCAATTTTTGCACATAATTTATTTATTTGAAAATTTTGTAATTCTGGTAAAAAACAGGGATCAATTTTACATTTATCTTATATTCTATTAAATAAATTAATTCTTGTTATAGAAATTTTTATTTTGTTATGTAAAAAATTCTACAAAGTATTACAACACGTGCTATAAAGTATTCCAAAACAAATTCCTAGAACAATTATAAAGGAATACTTTGACACTTTGTGCAAGATAATCTTAGAAAAATAGCCATAAATATCTATTAATAAAACGGTGAAAGAATATTTTCTAAAAGTTTTTCTTTATTTTTTATTTTTTTATTTTTTAAATGTTTAAACAATTGTTTACAATGAGGTTCACTAGCATAATCCCACAAAAGATAGCCACAAAGACTTGCTATGGCTAGAATTCCTAGGACTCTTGAAACTTTCTATAAAACTACTAAACTAACTAATTGTAAATAAAAGTGCACCAAATCATCCTATACAATATATTGGTAGGCATGTTATAAAATTATTTCTACAGAGAAAACTTATTTTTTAATCTCTCTCTATATATATTCCAATAATGGTTTAAGAATACAAAACAAAAAATCTAGCAAGCTTTTATCGAACATATATTTTTTTTCAAAAATTCATTTTTTAAATCTAAAATTCCAATTCTAAAACTGTCAAATATTTTTAAGATTAATTAATTGACTATGAGTTCTTTGACGTAGCTTTAAATTGCACAAGTAAGGAATATATGATTGTAATTCTTTGATTAAATAATTGAAGATTTTTTACTTTTTTATTCTAAATAGATTCAAATTTTTTAAAAAATAGAAAATATTTTTATTTTTTTAATTTTATTTTCATATTAAATTTCATATATGTATACATGTATATATTCTTCTCTCTTTATTTCTAAATTTTATTCAAATTTCTTTACAATTGGTATTTGATAAGTATGTCTTATTGAAATTTGTTAAGATTGTTGTGCAAGTATTTATAACTTATTTTAAGATTTTTTTTGGCTTAAACTAATTTAGTAAGAAAACAGATTTATATCATTAACATATTAGTAATCTATTAAAATCTTGAAACCTCATTAAAAAATACAAATAATTCAATACTTAAAACTTAAATTATTCAAAAACACCAAATACTAAAGATATTAATAATATAGTTTTTAATTCACATTAAATTTTAGATAACATTAATATTATAGAAAATTTTAAAATAAAATCATCTGTGAATCCTCACATATGCTTCTTGAATCTGTAAAGTTTAAAAACAGAAGTCTAGCATCCATCGCTTCAACACAACCCTAACTTTCAATTATTCTATTCATTTTTTACATCACTCTATTCAACATGCTTTACACACATACATACATCCACACATGGAAGTAACAAATCTGAATTTCTAACTCCAATAGGAGTTCATTCATTATAAGAACATCATCCAGGAAAACCCATATGAAATTCTGCAATGAGAAAGCATGAAGATGGAAACTTTGGAAACTTTGGTAGAGACATGTAATACATGCACCTACACCCACAACATCAATAGTGAGTTTTTGTTTCTGTGTTTTTGTTTGTTTGTTTGTTTGTTTTTTTTTTTTTGTTTTTGTTATTTTGGATTGAATTATGAGTAATATCCTGTTCCAAGCTCACTTGGCTATGAAGTTTGCCTTTATGGTGTCCTGAACTGCAACGGGTTGTTTGTTGCTGTCATGTTTCAAGACTAGACTTTAGTCATTAGTTTGCCAATCTTCTGCGGAGACGTTCATGAGAGTTGTAGACACTTACTGTGAGCAATCCGTCATTTTGAAGTGAGATTTCGATGGTGCGTTGTTTTGGAATTTTGACAAATGTAGAACGGTGTTTCGCTGTGAAGGTAGGGCTTGATTCGTTTAGGTTTAAGCTCTGTGGTCTGAAGTGTGTTGACGAGAATGAGGAATTCGATCTTTTGTCTGATTTTGGAAGCTTCGCCCATGTAGGCTGTCATTGAATGCTGCGTTTTGGTTCCGTAGCTTCGTGTTGATCTGCTAGATTCGGTGACCATGATTGCAGCAGTAATGGCTTCCATTTGTTGAATTCGTCTTTGGGTGCCCTCGATGTTGTAAATTTGACGCCATCTTTTCTTGAATGCAACCCTACTCAAAAAATTGAAAGCTTACATTTTTGTTTCTTACAAACGTTTGATGCGTATCCTTGAATTGTGGTATTATCATTTTTTGTCCCAGGAGAGATTATGTTTTATCTGCTATTGTGGTCACCTGCGGAACTCGTATTTGCTTAAAATAGATTCAATGAATCGGGGAAACTTTTACATAATTTTGTGATATGATTAATCTTTGCTCCTTGATCACACACTGGAATTATGGAGCGATTCTTGCTGTCTGAAGTTTTCACAACTGTCCCTCTTTTTATTACCAGCAGATCCTTGTGTTTGTTACACATAGGGTGTTGAGGGGCATAGAACCATCTCTCAACCGAAGGAGATTTGCAGTAAACTAGTTGTAATCATCTTCAGGGCTCTTTTGTCTTGAACTCGGAAATCGTTTAGTTTGACAGTTTGACTGTTGTTAGGGTGATTGCTCTGATCACATATTACCGATCAGAACAGGGGCTGATGAATCTTGTTCGAGCGAACGTAGGAAGTGGTCCACTGTTGTAATCTTATGCATTCCATTAGAATTTGAAGAATCTTGTCAAGATAAGCAGTATGTGATGAGTCGTCATTATTTAACTGCTTGCATTGAATAAATAGGGCGGTGTCACTACGGGTGGAATACGCGAGTTGTAATGTGGAAATAGTCAGGCGCAACTCGTGAAGACGAGGGCAGTCTAAACAACTAGCAGAAGAAGCGAGAGATCACCCATCATGGCACAAGTTTCACCAGCAGTGCAGCGAGAAGCCGAGAACCCACACGACAATAATCTGAAAGCCTCTGTGAAAGGTACAGCCTCCACACAAGCCTAGATGATTACTAGCACCTCCACTACAAATTTAGTGACTTCAATGGCTTCAGGAGATTGATACAGTAGAATTTTAACAACGTTTAGAGTAAGCAATTCTGATATCCAATTATCTGAGACCGCAAAAAGTAATTCTGGGCAGGGGAGAAACCCTCAACTCATTTCAGTTGAACAGATTTGAGAAAGAGGACAGAAGCTCACTATACTTTCTACTTAAATGTGTACTCCGAACGTTTTCGATGCCAGAGGTTACCTGATTCTGACCATGAGTCCACTTATCACAGCATAGAGGATTTCCAGTCGGGGGGGGGGGGGGGGGTTGTGTTCATGAAGTTTGAAGACGAGTATGGTATTGCATTGATCTTGGTGCAGGGTGTCGGTTTTCTAAACGGAAGATACTAATACAATTTGAAATGTATGTGGTATCAGCAATTGAGTTCACGGGAGTGCACCACGTTGGCATGTTATGTGAAAGCCTTGAGAGGTCGCTCGATTTTTATTGTGGTTTACTAGGTACGAGTACTGCTTTTTGTACCGGCTCTTATGGCATTCATTCTATTGTTCATATTTCAGCCTGAGATGAACATTTTCGTAGCAGTTTGCTCACAAGAGATAACTGAGAATTTCGTCTTCTTACCCATAGCTGCTCGCAACAGAGGGCTCTAATTGGTGATTCTTTGTTAAGCAGGTCTTGAAATCAATCCGACTCGACCTGACGACAAGCTTTCTTTCGGGGGAGTGTGGCTGAATGTTGGGTCACCATCTCAAATGATACACTTGATGGAGTTGCCCAACCCGGATCCCAAAGAAGGTCGCCCGCGGCATGGCGGATGTGACCGCCATGCATGTTTGTCGGTCCAGGATGTTGCAAAAGTGAAGGAGTTACTTGATAAAGCCGGTACGTCCAAATCTGGCACTCATTTTGAGTTGACATACATTGCACTACTGCCTAGTTGTTTACCGAACAATTTTAGAAAAGCGCAGGTTGCTTTGATCATCAAATAACCAGCACTTGCGTACACTTCAACACTGAACGCGTTTAAGTTGTTCCGTTTCAGGTTGCTACGTGGCTCTTTCAGTTGTTTTTGAATCGTTGGTATCAGCTTTATTGTACTACTCTGGTTGTGATTGAATACAGTAACAAAGTTTTGAGATGACGTTGTGCACAGGAATTTCGTATACATTCAGCGCATCTGGAAGACCAGCCATCTTTACTAGGGATCCTGATGGCAACGCTTTAGAGTTTGCCCAGCTTGGTTGAGTTCGATTACTGGTAAATCCTGTACTCGAGTATTGAGTACTTCCAGATGTTCTGCAATGCAAATCAATGTTGGGCTCACGCCTTGTAGGCTCCTATTTTTTAAGTTCCGTTCTTTTTTGCTGTTTGAGTTGATGTTTCATTACTTTTCTACTATGCATTCAAATTGGTGTGAATGGCTACACTTGGGGTTAATCTGCTTTTATCTATGTTTTTCTAAATAAATGCTTGTACCTATGTTTGTTTTGTAGACTGGGTAATGTCTCCAGAGGTTTAGTCATAGTCAACCGTGAAGAACCTCAACATTGTGGAGACTGTACACACGGACGTTGCACAGGCTAAGATTTAAGATGCAAATGAAAGCCTATTTTGAAACATATTATTAGCTTTCTACCTCGACGCATCAATCTGCATCCACCACACAGCAATTGGAGAACAGGTTACTTTGTTCAAATTGTGTGATTCAAGTGATACATTTATATGTGTATGTACACATACACATACATATGTGTACATATACACACGTATGTGCACATATACACACACGTATAATCATTTTCTTTAAACATATACGAAGGTTTGAAATTGTCATGAATTCTTCATCAGGTTCTCCACAATGTGATTTAATTTCAAGCACACTAATAAATACTCACTTTGCTAGATCTTTATTTTATTTTTTTTTATATTTGAATTGAACATAATTGTTGGGAACAAAAAAAACCAAAAAGAAACTTTTTATTTATTCATTTTTAAGGACACAACCTTTGTGAATTAAAATATACAACTATACATTTTGACACTTGTTAGTAAGGGAAAAACCAGTAAAATTTCTAAATTTTAATTTTAGAAATGCAAATGATTAGAGCAATCACAACAAAATGTGTTTTTAGTTTAATGTGTAAAAAAAAAAAAAAAAAAAAAAAACACGAATATTTAATGGTTTTGGAAGAAATATATTTGTTTAAATTTATTACTATATATTTCTTGATAAATAAATGGCTTTATAATGAGTTCATATCCATGTGGTACTTCTATAAAAATCTTAAATCCAAGGTTTATTTGAGGATTTCTTTTGTAATCTTGTTGGATTAGTATTTCTGCCATATCATAATCTCTATAAATAAATACCAAACTATTTCTTAACTTAGCAAAAGAAAGCTAATAAATATTATATATATATATATATATATATATATAGATATCTTATCATACAAAGACTTCAAATGTGTTCCAGTTAAACTAGTTAAATATAAGATTAAGAACACTCAATGGTTCTATTGAGATTGCTAATTTATAATTTAAAAGGATGAGTGAAGATCTTTGTTAAATTTTTGATACAATCAAAATGTACAAGGGCTAGTCTTAATTATGATTTAAGATTGTTTGTTCATGAGCATGCTAGCACTTGTTCAAGACATAGGCAAAAAGATATAATCATGTTTTAGTTCTCTTTTAGAACATAATTCTTGAGAGATAAAAAGTTTTTTTTTTTTTTTTTTTTTTTTTGTTTGTTTGTTTGTTTATTTTTGTGGTCTTAATATTAGATATTAGAAGACTATAAGTTTTAATTAACCCCACTTTTTGTGAAAAGACAAAAGGATGTTATTTTCTCTTTTGTTGTTTGATTAATAGAATCTACTTTTAAGTTCAATTTTATAGATATAATGGTACTACAAAGAAGTCTAAGGAGCTTCAAAGAGATTGATACAAACACCTACAATTTGGAAGTGACAATGATAGAAAACAAGCTTGTAACAATCTTTGTCCTTGAAATTTAGGCCAAAAGATGTTTTTTGAGATTATAATTTGGCTTTGCCCAGAGCATTAGTTCAATATTGTAAGCCTCTCTTTGCTTTGATTGCTTTTAGATTTTTGCATATTTAAAAAAAATAATTTCAAAATAGCATATTGAATAAAAATGAAAAGTCAATTTTTTTTTTTACTATGTTAGAACCATAGCTATATAATATGTAGATACAATACTTTTGGTCTTGGTATTGATCTCCTCTTTGATAATGGTGGGATTGTTGTTGATGATCATAGTTTCCATATTAATATCTATCTCATCTACAACTCTAGTAATTGAAGGTATTCTCTTTATTCACAAAATTGATGATTTGTATAGAAATCTAAATTCTAAATGCATAAATAAATGATTTCTATTCTTGTTAGACCCACATTCATTTATTTGTTGTAAGAAGAATCAACACTCAAATCATAAAATTCTTCACTTAATTCCTCACATATATTTTAATGATTTACTTTAAAAAATTAATTAATTAATTAATTAATGCAAAAAGCAAGGTTATAAGTCTACAACTTAAGAACAACCTTTGTTCCAACAAATACTATCAATTAAGCAAGGAATATTAGTTAAGGGATATAAATTATGTAGAATACCTCTTTACAACATAACCAACATTCAACAAATGTCACAACCATACCAAACTAGAAACTAAATATTTGTACACACACTTGTAATACACAGCGGAGGAACCAAGTGGCTGACGAAAAGCCACGGAACGAACGACATCGAGTCCGGACGTCGAAGTTCCGTCGTCTCCGTCGTCGACGTCGGTCAGCGACAATGCGATATTCTGTCTCCTCCCAGTTCCTCCGGCGCCGAACGGACTGTGCTGGTGCCCTACTTGGCAGCTTGCCCCGAATCAACGTGCTTCGCGAGAATTGCGGCCGATTTTACGCTCCGATCTTGCTCAGTGGCTGGCTACGTGCCGACCCCAGCCTCAGTTGCGCCCAACGCTCCTTTTCACCACGTCTCGAGCTTCTCATGGCCTTTGGAGTGTTCGCCTGTCGGTGAAAAAAAACAACCGAAGGCAGGGTTTGGCGAGTCAGAAAGGAACTCGCCGTCCCCACTCCATACCGTCATCCCCTCCCTCGGGATCCCACTACTCCCTACCCTCTTTGTATACTGGCTAGAGTGGTCTTTGCCCGCGAAGCAGCCTCCACCGCTCCCCGAAACTCACCCATCGGAAAGTGCATCGAGTCGTTCTTTTATTCTTTTTTTGCGTTCCCACAACTAGTGGAACAACTCTCTGAAAGGATGTGATCGTGGATTCATTCAGACGCAATCTCCTACAGTGATGGAGGATTGAGGCCTCTCGCGTCGCTTCAACGCTGTGGACAACTCCAGAAGCTTTCTCTCTCCGTTTCCCTCCACAGAAATCTACTTCCACTTTCGGACTCAAGGGGAAATTTGAATCATAGCATCTTCTCTTCGCATCGTGGGAAGCAGAATACGGTGAAGGTTCGGCACATTAACTCCAACATTTTGACTGTACATGTCCACCCCTTGTTTCAACGGGTGAGGAACCCTCTGTCACCCGACGTTTCGCCGGGGACCATGTCCGGTCAGTGACCCGGAAAAAGGAAAAGCTTGCATTTACTTCCATTTTCTCCCTCAACAACGAAAATGATAAAAGAAAGGGCTACCAATAACGTTAAACGATTCAAGTAATTTAACTGAGATTCTTCCTCCACACTTTGAACCTTCCATTCTATTTCAAAAAAAAAAATTACAAAAAACCCCCTTAATTAGCACACAGAGAGATGGTAAATATTCGGGTTAAAAAAGTAAGAAAATATTTTTTCCTTTTTTGTTTCCTTCTTATCTAATGACCTACCACGTGCCGAAGAACCCGAATGGATGTGGACGAAAGTAGGGCACGCCAGGTGGCAGGATAGGCGCAAGACATTGGGTTTCGTGACGACAGCCGGATGAGTCATCCCAAAATATTAAAACGAATATCATCTAAAAGGATGAATTAAGGCGTTCCGCTTCTTCTTAATCTCTTTCCTCGAAGAAGGGGACTTTCTGGTTTTTGTCTTTTGTAGTTGTTTGTTGTTGTTGACCCGCCCGTTACAATCTTTTGTGTTTTTTGACGATTGCCGTCGCAATCTCTTTGAGTTGTTGTTGTTGTTTCTCTTGATTCCGCCATGGATTGTGCTTCTCTTCCTTGCCTTTACTCAGTGCATTTGCCATATCTCATGTAGAATTCCAGGTTATTTGAGGACTTCGCGGTCGTTTGACCGCCCCTTGGCGGACACTTTGAGTTGGACGACGTTGCTTGCAAGCTCTGATCATCGGGATAGCAATTTGTGTGGCTCTGCAAGGTAGGATTGAGCATGAGTCGGTTTACGTGAAAGAATGTCAGCGATTTCAATTCAGGTTTTTGTCTTATGGTGATGTGTTGGACGTGGAGGCGCAGGGGTGACGGTGTCGTGGTTTGCAGAGTTTGTGTGAGAGCTAGGAGGTGTTTTAATTTAATTATTATTATTATTAATTTTTTCTTGTTTCTGTTGTGGTTGTTAGGGAGTATGGAGAGTGAATTGTAGCCGGATTGTGTACCTTAATGGTCGTTGTTTGCGATTTTGAAGTCGTTTTTGAAGAGGTTTCTTGGTTTCCATGGCTTGGGGTTTCTGTGTTCCTCGTGCTCGTTCTGATCGCTATCGCCGACTCTCTTGTGTGAATCGATTTTGGAATCGTCAGAGTTGTTTTTTGCGTCTTATTACGACATTGGTGCGGTGTGCTAAATTTAGTCTTTACTTTAGGACGTACTGGTGTAGGTGCAATGTTGACCGGGCACCATAAAGTTGATTTGGATCGTGACTTTTCCCGAGAATCTGATCGGTGCGGACTTCGAAGCTTTGAAAGGTTGCCGCTAGGTGGAGTCAATCCCTTCAGCAAGTTGATGCGGGTGAACGAAGAGTGCAATTCGGTAGACATAGTTTTGTCACGAGATTGCAATGAAGGACACGAAGGATGCCTTAATTAGCTCGAGTGGACTGGAAGTAATTGGCTGTGGCAATTTTAGTGTTATAAGACAACAATTTTGAATACATTGGCCGGTTTCTGCATTTTAATCGCACAGTTGAGGAACCGTCAATGGTGTATGGCGCCAAGTCTATCGGTCACTGAATAAGTCGGCAGTAACTCAGAACTTGGTGTACTGAATATTTTTCATCCCCTTAGATCTAGTGTAGGTGCTTCAATAGGCTTTTCCGCACCAGGTAAATGATGTTTGTTACCGCAAGCTTAGAGCATGCTGTTTCGATGTTCGTTGCTCGTTTGTTCGTACGTGAAATTTACGTGAAATTTACTAGCTACCTATGTACATCACCGGATAGGCTTCGAGACTTTTGGTGTATTTTTTGTTTGTGTTTTTCTTTTTTCTTTTTAATACACACCTTTTCAAATTTTCTACTTTAAAAAAAAAAAAGAAAAAAACTCTTTTACACATTGAGAGGATGCGTCCAAGTTGTTCTCATCAACTTTTAATTCTTGCAAATGTTACACGTATAGTTTTCGAAAGAGCCAAATTAACAGGTTTAATCTTTTGGGTTTTGCGTAGCTAAGCAAAGCTCTGTTTTGCTGGACAGATGTGAGTTTAAGACGTTTGTTGTTGATGACATTAACTAGTCTTTGGTCTTTTGTGTGTAGGAATTCAACCAAAACTAAGATGAAGCCTCCGAGCCGCACACGTTGCGGCTTGGTTTATTTGCTCTTCATACTCTCACTTGCACTAGCACCATCGATTGCTAAGAAGGCAAGAATTGATGGGCCTATCAAAGTGGTTGTGGTGATGGTTATGGAGAATCGTTCCTTTGATCATATGCTGGGTTGGCTCAAGACTTTGAACCCAGAAATTGATGGTTTAACTGGCAAGGAGTGCAATCCCAAAAATACATCCAATCCTGATTCGGAGTTGGTATGTGTTTCAAATATCGCTGAATTTGTAGATCCTGACCCCGGACACTCGTTTCAAGCAATTCGGGAGCAGATATTTGGGAAGAATGAGACATCTGCGATTCCCCCACCCATGAACGGTTTTGCTCAACAAGCAGAGAGCATGGCAAAGGGTTTCTCTAAAACAGTCATGAGTGGCTTCAGGTATTCTTCTCATGACTTCCTCAGTTTTCAGCTTATAGTTTGAGGAGTTTGGTGGTGAACTTTCATTCGGTGTGATGATTTCTTGTTGAAGTTAGCTTCTGTTTCGCAACCCATACACTATGCAGATCGCTTTGATCAACATCCAATTTGATTTCTAGGTGCGTATTATAAATGTCGTATCTCTGTGATATAGGCCAGAAGTTGTCCCCGCATACAAAGCGCTGGCTGCGGAGTATGCAGTCTTTGACCGTTGGTTTGCGTCCGCCCCTACATCCACTCAGCCCAACAGGTTTTATGTGCACTCGGCCACTTCATATGGAGCCATGAGTAACGTGAGAGAAGAGTTAATAGAAGGGTTTCCCCAGAAAACAATCTTTGAATCGATTGTGAATGCTGGTCATACTGTTGGTATCTACTACCAAAATCTTCCTGCGACTTTATTTTTTCGGAACTTACGAAAATTGAAGTTCGTGAACAAGTTCCACGATTATACCCTCAAGTTCAGGAACCATGCAAGGCGGGGGGTTCTACCCAACTATGTGGTAGTGGAACAAAGATACTTTGACACGAAGGTGCTTCCAGCAAATGATGACCATCCTTCTCATGATGTATCTGAGGGCCAAGGTTTCGTGAAAGAAGTTTATGAAATCTTACGTGCTAGTCCACAATGGAATGAGATGCTTTTTATTATTACATATGATGAGCATGGTGGTTTTTATGACCATGTGCCCACTCCAGTGACTAACGTTCCAAATCCTGATGGATTAATTGGTCCTCCGCCGGAATACTTCAACTTCAGGAGGCTTGGAGTGCGAGTCCCTACTCTGATGATATCTCCTTGGATCAATAAGGGTGTCGGTAAGCAGCCACTTTTTTTTTATTGATAATTTTTTTTCGTGCTATACATTTCTTACTTGTCATGACTGTTAGTGATGGGCTGCGTAGCTGGATCGTTTGCAAGTCCTGATGAATTGTAATGTTGCTTTCAAGTAATTCAGGGTAGTGAATGGTGATTATGTGATGTACATAAAATTAAGATCTATGAACAAGTGTGGTATACTTCTTCATTAATAATTTCTCTTCTCCTTTGCAGTGGTACATGGACCGCATGGTCCTACTGCCGATTCACAATATGAGCATTCGTCAATTCCGGCAACAGTGAGAAAGATATTCAATCTTCCGGATGATTTTTTAACTGCGCGGGATGAATGGGCAGGAACATTTGAGCATGTTTTTGCTCAACGCAAGTCGCCAAGAATTGATTGCCCTAGTACAAACCCTTGACCCTTATACAATCTTTAATTCTTCATAGTTGGTGCAGAAGGACATTGCAAATTTGATCAAGCCTTGATGACACGAGCAGATAAAAATTTTGTTAGAGTGTTTTTGGATCTTACAAACCTCTTTCTGTTTTGTAGAGCAAATACCGAGTCCGCCATGGTCATTACGACACTCACCACCAAATGAAAGTGCTCCATTGACGGAGTTCCAGGAAGAGCTGATCCAGTTGGCATCTCAATTAAACGGTGATCACCAGCATCCCGAGTATCCTCATCTCGGAAAGCGAATGAATGTGGGACAGGCCTACGAATATGCTACAAAGGCTGTGGCTAAATTTATAGAAACTGGAAAGGCGGCTCTGAAAGCTGGGGCAGATCCAGAGACAGTGATCATGGTGTCACCAGGTGTAATTGAAATGACAGAGGATTCGGACAACCATCACGAGAGTTTATGATCTTCTTTCACATGAGTCAGAGACCCTCAGCAACTCAACTGTAACTTACACAATACAGCTGGGAATGAAGGGTGTGTTTAGCAGTTACTAACTTCAAGCTGGGAGGAAGTTGAGAGGCGTTTCAAAGGGATGTTTGAATTTCGGTCCAGTGATTTACCTAACGCCAGGATTAGTGGGGGGTGGGTTGTACATCACTTGTGACGTAAGTGCTGAAGGTCCTTTGTCTCCTAAGGGCCAAAATATTTACAATTTCATAACATTGAGAATTTAGATACGTAAGACTTTTGTGAGGTGGAATTTTTCCTACACACTTGGCCAAGATATGTATACATCGATATTACGTGTTAAGGTTTAGATACACAGAATGTTTACAAGGTAAAACTTTTAACTGTGTAGGTTACATTTATTTTTATCCTCAATTATACTATTTATGTAATAATGTAATATATTTCTATTTTATTTAATGTAAACAATAGTACATCTTCAAATAATGCAGAAAAGTAATGAATAATAAACCTCTAGTCTTTTTTAAACTAAAGTACAAGTTTTTTTTTAGCCCAAATAGCTGCAGAAAAATAATTTATGCCAATAACTAACAAAAATTGATGTTCGATTATATTGTAACCATAATATTTGATTGATGTTTTTGGTACAAAATAAACAAAGGTTTTTGTGATGAAAGGACGTCTTTGTTATTTCTTATCTTGTACAAAGAGAAAAAAAAAGTGCTGGAATTTGTTTCTTTATTTATTTATTTATTCATTTATTTTTGTAATAAAAAATGATAATAGAAGTCTATTCTATGTTTTTTTATCAAACATATCTTTTATGCAAACTTGTAGAAATCAGGAAAGTTAACTTCTTTAGAAAAGACTATATATGGTTCTTTTCAATTATACTTTAAATAAGACTAATTGGTTTCAATGATTGTTGCAAGGGATTTAATAAAGAAAACACCTCCTCTTTGAGAAAAAAATTACAAATTCATATTTTAACTTAGCCACAAATAAAAAGAATGCCTCTCAATAATAAGATGCTAGAATATTGCTACAACATTTCATTTCATATTGTATTACAAACTTTTATTTATTATTCTTTCTACACTCATCTACACCTTTTCAAAACGTTTCAAATCTTATCTTTACACAAATGAAATTGGAGGTCTACAACCATACAATACTATTAATGAATTGGTTCCATATAATTTTCTTAATGAATTTATTAAGTCAAATTTTGTTTCTTTTCAAAAAGAGTTACAATAAGGTGATACACTACTAACTAAAGCATCCTAATTAGAAGAATATGGTGAAGGCATAACTCAAGTTTACCGATATCTGAGCATGCATGCTATTATTTCCTATGATAGTTGTAGAGTCTAATATTAGTATATTGTGTGTGATTGATTATTTGTAGGCTACTTTAAATTAGGATTTTTTGGAAAAATATCCTAGTTTCTTCAAAATAATCTTTGGAAGATGCACTAAAATAAGGCTTCAATGGTCTTCTTTTGCACAATTGGAGAGGCGCCTTACAACATGTAGTTATACTAGTCAGACCTTGGGATATGCACATCAATATCACAATTGATAAGGAGTTGTAGATGCCTTAAAAAGCTACTATAGGGACAAAGTTTGGCATCTTATCTAACCCACTAGGTGAGAAGACAGATGCTATCATGACAAAGTGGTGCTTGTTGTGTTTGAAGCTCACTTGCAAAGAAGTCAATCTCATAAGGGGTAAATATAAGTAGACAATGAGTGTAAAATCGTTTACAATTCCATTTTATATTGGCAACATTACGACGCACATAAAGTTGCAGCATGGCGAGGCTTGTCCAAAGTATAGCTTATTTCCTAATGGCAAGAAGTAGTTCTTTGATTGCACAAATTTCAACAACACTCATGCAACTTATTTCAATGGTAAGAATGCACTTACATTTACAATCAATTGAGATGTTATGGACGTCATTATTGATGACATGTTGTTCAATGTTGATGACAAAAAATCTTTGCTGACATATGAACAAGGATGTAATATCTTCAATCTCTTCGAAGATGTAAACATCAATAGCATTGAGCTTGGTGGAGAGCAAGACTTGAATTGAGAAGCTTATAATGTTAAAATTAAGTCTTTACATTTGTTTCATCTTATAATCAACTTTGTATCTTATGGAGTTTTTTTTTTTTTTTTTTTTTTTTTTTTTTCAAATGGTAGCATGTCTCATGGATGTTACCAAAATTGAATTGTACATGAGTTGCTTTAGTTGGCTCAATGAAGATTATATTGCTTCGTTCAAAGCTTTTGGATATTGTTGCTCTAAAAAAGAAGACACAACTTGTTGGTATTAATACAAATGGTGAATACATGATGGTATGGCAACTTTTTAGCATTGCAATGAGGATGATAGAGGTGGCTACTAATGGCATTGTTTAAGTGTGGTGTGCTCTCCATCAACTTGACCTCATCGTCCAAGCCAAGTATCTAAAATTATATAACTAGTTTAGAAATGTCTTGATGTGCCTTGTCTTTCATCTTTGTTGGTAGTTCAATCTCATTAAGAGGATGGATTGTATATGTCCAAAGTTTATTGACATGTATTGGTTATCCATAAAGAAACTTTCTAGCTTTTTGCATCTAGGATGCATTATCATCTATGAGTATCTTGACTAAAAGAAGCTAGCATGTATCTCTCGCCTTGCTTGGTGGGTGGTACTACTCTCACTCAACAATGTTGCAAAAGTAGTGTCCATCATCGTGACATGCTTACAATGACTTAGCATTCTCCTCAATTAAGAAAAGTTGTAGTTTGAAGGTTTCATTTAGTAACTCGTATCACTTTACAAAGTGCAAGGACTGCACAATGCTAAAACTCATGCCCAAAATGTCATCTATAGATCCTTCTTTGTGGCTCTCACCAATGTGGAGGTCTTCATTTAAGACTAAGGAATCTTTATCATGAACATAATGGTTGCATTATAGGCAGAAGACACTAAACATGTAGTTTGTTCAGTGATAAGTTTGTTTATTGATCTCATTGATGACATCTCTACTATTGTTGCCTAATGTGATTGAAACAACAATACCATCAATGAAAATATCCACAAAGTCCTATTTCACAATCTTTGTCATCTATGGACATTTTCTTTATACATTTTAATTTTTTGGGATAAGTTGTAGTTGGAATCGACTTGATGGAATACTTAGGCCATTGAAGATATTGAGAATGACGACAAATATAATGGTGAACGCCTACCATAAGAAAAATACTTTTAAGGCTGTTTTTGACAGGTACATCAATTTACAAATAGATTTTAATATTGCATGGACTCATTGTGATGGTCTTTTTTCACAACTTCAAAGGTTCTTTAGTGGAGTAGCCTCCATCTTTCTTAATACAAGCATAGTTGAATTTGACTTCTCCATGATTGGGTAGACAAAAGATAGATATTGCCAAAGCCTTATCAACTTTTTTCTTGAGAGCATTTTTTAATCCAAGCAATTCAACCATGTTTGTCAAATTTGATGGATATGGATGTTTTTGGAAACTATTGTAGTCAATTTTTATCCATCCCTAGTTTATCTAAAATAAAATGTTGTTGCAATCCTAGAATAAGCTAAATTAGATATTTCAAGGCTTTTGCAAATTTAAAATTGCCTTGTTATATGCCTTACAAGCATTGAAAAAGATATAGATAGATGTTGTATAAATGCACTCTAGATGGTACTATTTTACTTTCTCATGACAGGTTTTGTCAACCATTGCATGCATTCTTAGATTAGTTAATTATTCATGAAGAGGTTTGCTGGCATTGTGTTACTAATTCATAGTTTGTTGTATGAAGTAGACTCACTTGATAATCTCAAGCATATTCTCTCTTCATTATAAGCAAAGCTGAAAGATGAACATAAGTATATCTATTATAAATCTACTTCTGTATTTACAAAATGTGATCCCTATAAACACAACATATCTATTTAGGAGCCATGCTTAAAATTATGACTATTGAAAAGTGAGGTGTGTTGATTCATCAAGAGTAAGTTTAATTGTAGATACTAAATTTTGGAGCAGACAATATCTTAGACTTGAACTCCTTACAGCTTCTGTACAAATAAATTTCAAGAAATTTACAAATTTTTCTTCAATTGAGCTAAAGAAAAGGTCAACACTTCAACTTTATTTTGGGATTTTAGTTGCTTTACTGTCCAATCTGTTGTCATTGCTACGAGGACAGTTAGAGATTCTAAGTCAATAATTTGTTGATTATCACAAATATTGGTACGTTCTATGCTCAGTATCTCTAAATTTTAAAAAAACATATTACACAATCATGTCATTGGAATAAGCATATAAGATCTGAACAAAGTTTGTATATCTCTAACTATTATCTATTTAGAACTCAAGCTAAGGTCGTGTTAATAGAAGTGGAATGTTTTTTCAGTTTTAAATTGATTTGAGATCATTTTCATTTGAATAAAAATAAATTATGCATGCATTTTTTACTGTTAAAAATGGACCAGAATATTAAATAATAGATTAATATTTGTACTAAAAACCAAAATATATTTTTTGATGATTTTTTAATTTTAATTTTTTTTTATTGTTTGATTATTTTACAAAAAGAAATTATATGTTTTTTTTCAAAAGGTGTGATTTTTTTAAATTTTTAATTTAATTTTTTTAAAATCACATAAGTTTAAAATTTATTGTAATTATATTGCATTAGACATGTAATATATGAGTGTTTTTCCAAATATTTTCTTCCTCTTTTAAGTGTCATATATATCTTTTAGTTTTTGAAATTTGAAGGATAGGCTCATTGTGCTTTAGTTATAAGAGATGGTTGTTGTCTTTTTTATGGATAGGTTTATTTGCTTCAGCTATTAGTGGATTTACTTTAGGATCAATCTTGTCATGAAAGTTGTTCAAACTTGGTGAAAATACATCAAAAAACTCGCATCACTTACAATGAGGAACTTTGATTCCATTTAAGCATAATTTTTTCATGTATAATTCTATTTGCGATCATAAATTCAACTTATTTCTTATAGGCAATTTTTCACCAAAGTATTGACTAAAATAATAATAATAAAATAAAAAAACAACAAAAACAACAACAAGTGATTATTATAAAAAATAAAAATGAAAATAAAATTTTGTTATGCATATACTCTTTTTTTTTTTTTTTTTTTTTTTTTTTTTCATTTTTTTTGTTGGTCAACATTTCTTAAGGAGTGGTCAATTTTTCACTTGGCAACCACAAATCAAAATTTTACAACTTTTTCATGGCCAATGGAACAGGTCTTCATTAGTGAAAATATAGTCAATCTATTCTTTCTGCTCTTGCCTTGAGACCATTGAGCTATGTACTAAAAAGTGTCAAGCAGTGTCCTTGATATGGTGCACATAAACAATTTTGAGCTGTTGTAATTCCTATTCAATGTTCAATACATGGTCTTAAATTAAGCATCCACAGACTCATTTAACACATTACAACCCGTATTTATTTATTATTGATCATTCCAAGTTTCATAAAGAAAAATAAAAATAACAACACTTGTTTCATATTATATTTGCATATTACTAATGGAATCGTCCAAGGTTGATGTTCATTCATTGACACTCACCTGTAACCACTTCAACATGCTTTCAAACTGATTAAACGACTCAATCAACCCAAAGAATTATGAATTTCATATAAAAAGACTGTAAGCCTAACTATTAGAATGAATGAATGAACTATTTGAATGAGAGGCGAATGAAATAACGATGAATGAAAAACATGGATGAATGAAGAACGTATCGACGAACGTGGGGGGGAACAGCAGCCTCGGTTGTTGCTCCATGTGGGGGGGGGGGGGGTCACGTTGCTCGAGATTCTTTTCAATGACGTTGCTCGAGATTCTTTTCAATGACGTTGCTCGTAACGTTGCTCTTAATTCGCCTCTCCAACCACCGAAGCTGAAAATCCTGTAACGAAGTCCTGAGCGTTTCAGTCCGATGTTGTCGAAACTGCTGGATGAAACCCACTTGTCGCATTCTTCACTGTGCACAGGGGGATGCAGGTTCTGGAGGATCTTCCCTCCGGCCATGGCCATTTGGGATTGCGTTCCGCTGATTCTCTAATCAGAGTTTTGATGCTTATTTAATCCCTTGCTTGCCTCATGACTCATGAATGCTGTACGTGTGTGTGAGTGTTTCCTGGTCGCTCAGCTTTACTTGCGACTTCCGAGTCATCTACTTACGAGTGTTTGAGTTCCTTTGTTGTTGCCTTGTTCTCGCAGAGCGAGTCTTTACCTCGAGGACAGCTTGTTCTTGTTCGGCTGTTGAGCTATCTAGCTGCTGCTGCCATTTGTCTTGCCCGTCTACCGTGGTGGTTTTAGTTCTGAGATTGTGATAATCTTCAATCCGCTGTCAACATGGCCGTGAAGGTGTATATTGTGTACGTGTCTGCTGCCTTCGTGTACCGAGTTTGTGCTGGGTTATGTGGTTTTGACAATTTCTTGGTGGTTATGGATCGTCACATTGAGCTGAGTGAGTGCACTGTGAGGTAGTGAGTTGGGGTAGAGGATATGGAGCACGTCAGAAGTGATTTTTGCTTGGCCGTATCACGTATATTGAGGAGATGCATGCATTTTACTCATATTTGGGTATGAGATGCGAGAAATATAGTGGGATGTTGGCCAGTTGCTTGTCTTTCTGAGGTTAGTGAGTGCCGGCCTGGATGATGATTGGTTAGAATGATGAGCAAGGACATGTGGGGATGGTTGCTGCAAGGCGATTATCAAGGCTGGGATCTTGGTTTCCAAGATTTCCCTACGTCAGAACTGTTGACATGCTGGTCAGAGCCAGTTCTGATGCTGCTGCTGCATGGAATTCTTGCTGCAGGTACTATTCCATGTATGGCCACGTCGAGACTCTCGCCAGGGAGATTCAGAAGGGTGCCAACAGTGTCGAAGGCGTGGAAGCGACTCTGTATCAAGTGAGTACTGCTGACTGTGCTCTTGTCCTGTTATTTGTCGATTCCAAACCGTAGACAGCCATAGCCGAGTTTTAAATTGTTGGGGCTCTTTCATGCCTGCTGATAACCATTGCAAAGGCATGCATAATATGGAGTCTAGATTTCCTTTACGACGCCAATAGTGAAGATTTTGCAACACGCAGGTACCAGAGACATTGCCACAGGAAGTGCCCCAGTCTGAAATGCCATCCTGTGTTAAGGCTTACCGGAAGCTGATGGGTTTCTATTTGGTTTTCCGACTTGTTTTGGTATGATGGCCGCCCAGTTCAAGGCCTTCTTTGATGCCACTGGGGGGTTGTGGAGGACACAATCGCTCGCTGGCAAGCCTGCGGGAATCTTTGTCAGCCCTGCGTCTCAAGGAGGTCAGGAAACCACAGCGTAAGCTCCATAGGATCTGTCTTAAGTGTTTTGGTTAATGTTTCAGTTGAACAATGACGCTCATCAGATCTTTCAGTAATCTGTAAACATGTGTGTATCGTCTGATCTTGCCACGCTGTGTGGATTCCAGATTGACTGCTATCACACAATTGACTCATCACGGCATGATCTTTGTGCCCGTTGGATGCACTTTCGGTGCGGGCATGTCTGAGATCAATGAGCCGAAGGGTGGATCAAGCCATGGAGCTGGCACTCTTGATGATGATGGTACCAGAACCCAACCAAGCTTGAGCTGGAGCAAGCCTTCCACCAGGGAAAGTATACCGCTGGCATTGTGAAGAAGCTGAAGCAGTGATTTATTTATTTTTATTTTTATCAGCCTGCTTGTTGAAATCAGTGTAGATTTCCGATAAGACCTCGCATGGAGCATGCTTTTATTTTTATTTTTATTTGTATTTTATTTCATCATGAGGGATACTGAAGATAATAGTTGTTTAGATAATGCACCATCCTTCAGGTTCTGTGGTGGTATTTGGACTCAGTGGGGGAAGAAGCTTATCTTGGATGCCTGTGAATGTGCCGATGAGCCTGGATGTTTGGTCATCCGATGTATCTAGCCCAATTCTAAGTGAATAAATCAATTCCTACAATTTATTATTATTATCACAATGTGACTTAAGTGCCTGCTCTGCCCCCTCATTGAGTAGTACACCTACAAACTCATTCTGCCTTACTAGGTGTGTAGATTGTGTTAGGAGATCAAAAATCTGGTTAGGATGAAGAAAAACGAGGACATATAATCCAACAATCTATAACTTAATTCAAGAAGTGTACAGAATTTGTAATCTTGCGGTCATTGTAGGCGAAAACCTTGGAGTAGAGTGTCCCAGCACCTAGATTGGAATATATTAGTAAAAAAAAAGTCACTGGAAAGCACTTTCTCAGTCATGAGTGATGACACTTTGGAAGTCCCTTCTCGCACATCGTTCAGTTGTCTTGTTTTACGATGCTTTTGTTCATCTAGAATGCGTGACAATTCAATCGTCGTTGGTTTGCGTTAAGAATCCTTAAAATGTCTGCGAACCCAATTCCCTACTCCAGACTTCATGGAAGCTAAATCTAACCAACACATAGAAATACGGAACTTCTACATTACGTAGAAACGCAAAAATAGTTAATGCATGGACGGAGATGGCAGAGAGGTGTTGACAATGAACGAGGAAGAATAAATACTTGTGCAGAGATCCTCGGAGACAGCGGAGAGACGTAGGCCCTGGCGACTACACATACAGGTGTGAAGCAGTTTCACAATCGGTGGGCAGCTTGCGGGTGGAATCTCCGATAATTGCAATTATGCGGGTGGGCCCTGTAGCATGCGTGTATGGTAGACGACGTGGAGACTCCTGGAAATCCATTAGTAGAGATTGTGGGCGACCATATTTCAAGCGCTGCACCGCTGCCTTTTCCCTCTCCCCGCATATTCTGCTTCATTGTTGACTTGGAATTCGTCGTCTGAAGCGGTTTTCTTATATTTTTTCAAATTCGAGCACCGAATTCCAAGTTAACGAATTGGGATCCCGTTCCAAGTAGCTATGGTGCATTCCCATCTCTGCCGCCGTTGCCTCCTCGGGTCTCCTGAGGTCCTCTGCTGCTCTTTGTCTGGGCACTGCTGGGGTTTTCACGGTGGGTAGTGTGGTAATTGAGTTCGTAGAAAACAAGAAGAGGAGTCGGTGCTTGGAATCTATGGAGAAGCAGAGTGAGCGGAAGGGGCCATATCCTGTCACAGCCACGCAGTACCAGGTGTTGGAGGAAGTAGGGCACGGTTTGGGCGCCACAGTGCATCGCGCAATCTGTCTGCCATTCAATGAAGTTGTGGCAATTAAGAAGTTGGATTTAGAGAGCAGAAATGTAAATGTGGTAAGGCAATTGTCTCTCTCCACGTTTTTATTGAATTTCCCTTCTGCTTATTCTTGAGCATGCATCCTTCTTCTGAGTTTTGGTGATGTTTGGACAGCAACTTCTTGTAATGTAAGGATATTATTTTGATGATGAGCAGTACATGAATTGCAGCGTTCCGATTTTAGTGGTCTAGAATTCATTCTGCATCAATGCTGTTGTTCACAAGAAACCGAATCGTATTGCGTTGTTGACACGGAGTTTAAGGTAAGGGTGTAAGAGTCGGGCTAATTAATTTCCAATGTTTGGGCCATGCGAGGACGATGACAACCTGATTTGCTATTTGCACAGGATGACATACGTCGGGAGGCTGTGACAATGAGCTTGACCAACCATCCTAACCTTGTCAAGTCTTACTGCTCCTTTGTTGTGGATCAAAGTGTATGGATCGTGATGCCCTTCATGGCAGGTGGTTCATGTCTTCACATCATGAAGGCAGCTTTTCCAGATGGTTTTGAGGAGCCTGTGATCGCTACTCTATTAAAGGAGTCACTCAAGGCTCTTGAATACCTGCACCGCCAAGGCCACATCCATAGAGATGTAAAGGTAATTCATCAATGCAATTTTGCCCATTATCTTTCAACGTGTATTTATTTTATGTTTTTTTGCTAGAACGTCTTGCTTGGGGATACGATGAAATGTATTTCAACGAGTACCGTTGAGACAGATTTTCTTCCTTATTTCAACGCGTAGTGAAGATCTGGATACGAACAGCAGACAATAGAGTCGTGCTTCTCCGTGTGGTTTCAAAATTCCTTTCACAGGTATGAGAATTATTTTTTACTTGATTATATTGGCAGGCTGGAAATATTCTTTTAGATGGAGATGGATCTGTAAAGCTTGGTGACTTCGGTGTCGCTGCAAGCATGTTTGATAAAGGTGATCGACAGCGATCGAGAATCACTGTTAAGGGTACTCCTTGCTGGTATGTTGAATTGTCTCTCTATGGAATGACTGCTAAATTTCTGTAATATATGCTAAAAGAGAAAAGGCTTACAATACTTGCACCACTGCTTAATTTTTTTGAATCCAGTATTGAGAGATATCGGGTCGATCCCTAGATGAGTTTCGCTGCCTTGCCCATGACTAAGACAGCGAGTGTGATATGTACTACCAAATTTTACTTAACTTTTTAATTTGCCTATATAAATGCTTGCAGGATGGCGCCGGAAGTCATCGAGAAAACTCATGGCTATGACTTCAAGTAAGCTCACACTTTTCCTTGTAGGCTTCTAAGAAGCCAGATTGACGGTAGTAGTGCGTTTACGTACATCTCTCATATATCAGACATAAGTAGTCAAGACGTGACATGATCATTTGATCTGAAGATGCCTGTGAGATTTTCTGCGTAAGCAGTAGGACATGGAGCAAATCTTTATCTGGTGCAATTACTTTGATTCACATATACGACATTTGACTTTCTGCTTGTACGAGTCTAAAACCCTCTGTTGACCAGGAATAAGCGGTATAAGCATTGTATGCAGAGCTGACATCTGGTCCTTTGGGATAACTGCTTTGGAGCTTGCTCATGGTCATGCACCCTTCTCCAAGTATCCTCCCTTGAAGGTACTATTAACCGTAGACGCTTGTAAATTTTAATATCACTCAGATGCGAGTTTCTGATTGTAAAAATAAAAATAACACACACACATACACACATACACACACACAAGCACACACACATACACACATACACACACACAAACACACACACATACACACATATGCACACATACACACATATGCACACACACACACATATGCACACACAAGCACACACACATACACACATACACACACACACACACACACACATATGCACACACACACACACATATGCACACACACGTACACACACACGAACACACACACACTCTTTCTCTTTGTATTTGGATGTTTTCAACTGTGGGAGTTTTTATCACAGGTGTTGCTGATGACTCTCCAGAATGCCCCTCCCAGGCTGGACAATGAGCGGGACAAGAAGTTTTCTAAGGTGAGGTGGTCTCATGTATGATTATTTGATCGTTTGGCATCTGACACTATATACTTGTGGACTAGTTTTCATGTTAATTGTATGAATTATTATGCGAGTAGTCAATCATGTTCTTTAGATGTTGGGAATCCTTGGAGAAGCAATTAGTGGCAATACGCAGTTACCGGTAACCAAAGAAACTAAGAATTGAGAAAAACATCTTTTAGAGCTGCATGGGTGGCGTGCACTCGATTTGATCTTAGGTGCTTCTTTTTTGGAGGGCTCGTTGTTCCTCTGGGTAACTCTTTGTTACTCATTCGTTTTTCATCTGTACAGTCCTTCAAGGAGATGATTAGTATGTGCCTGGTCAAGGAACCAACAAAACGACCTTCTGCGGAGCGACTTCTCAGACATTCTTTCTTTAAGCAAGCTCGGTCTTCTGATTACATTTTGAGGCATGTGTTGGATGGCTTGCCGCCTTTGGGTGAACGAGTTAAGCATCTCAGGGTAAGGACGAATGATTTAGCACAAGGATCGAGATTACATTAATTTTCTATGATAGAAGAAATGTAGATAAGTGTTGAAGAATGTTTGAATTTCTACATTGTGATAGGTTTAACTCGTGAAATATGTTCGTCAGATGTTAGATGCTGCCCAAATTGCAGAGAAGAAGATGCCATTTGAAGAGCAAGAGGAGAAATCCAAGGTTTATTCCATTTCTCAATTTTTCTTTTTGGGGCAAATTGTCACTTTCATAGTGGAAGGGACGTGCAAATCTAGCGTTCGGTGCTAGTTTTTTTCCTTCAAGTCTCGCGTTCTTTGCTGACATTTCCTGTCGCAATATTTGCAGACTGAATATAAAAGAGGTGTTAGCAATTGGAATTTTAATATTGAAGACCTGAAAGCAGAAGCTGCGCTGGTATGTAGTCAAATTTATGCCGTATTAACTCTTGGTTTGGATGGTCTTTCTGTGACAATTTTTTATTTTGTATTTTGTATTTATTTATTTTCCCTTTGATTTGGGGTTTTTGGCATAGTTTTTGTAGAGGATAATTCAGATTTTTTTTAACACTTCATTTACTCACATTTAGCTGTTTTGGCCAGATTTCAGGAGATGGTGGTTATGCCGAGGCTGTTAAAGAGGAGGATGACACTCCAAAGCAACAGACACAAAAAGGACTCGATGATTACCTCCCACCCAAGAACGCAGAACCATCCGCTAGGTGCACGTTTGTTATAGTAAAATATCTATCAAGTGTCTTATTCTAAACTTTTATTTGATGTAGTCCAATGTGTAAAGTTCCTATCGGCAGGCAAATACTTGCAATGGCAGCTCTTTGACTTAATATTAGTAACAGAGGTTGCTGATGTGTTTTTGTACATAACAGTCTTTCAGCACATACTAACGTCGTTTACATGTGTTCCGTGCATGTTGGCTTCACAGAGACAGAGAACTCCGTCAGAGAGGAATGTCAGCAGAAGATCTTTCACGGTGTCGTGAACGAGCGTTTAGCGGACTATTGCCAAGTGACGAGCGTGCCACATCGGATCAGGGACCAGCGAGCGGGTTTCAAGGCGTTCCAAGACCATCATCTGGCATGCCACTTGATCTCGTCTCGCAATGTTCGTCCATGATTTATTTGCAGACATGCTTTCGAGGGCGTTTCTTTGAGGATGTGATGAATTGATCATTATCATACTCTTCGATTATCCATTTATGGACGTCAATGAACTCCTTTCTTAGGTCGTAGGTAGTTGATACCAAGCTGACAACTTGTGTAAAAACATGCGTTGGGATGTTAAAGTTTTATATCATATTTGTGCTACGTTTCACAGGAAGTAAGGAAGGGTCAGAGGAGAAGTCGAAGGGTCCTGCTCAGAAGTTTCCAATTGTTCAAAGAGGTCGCTTTTCAGTTACATCTAATGATCTGGATCTCCAGGTATTACTGCCATGCATTAGAACCTGGTCTATGAGAGTCAGTTGATCATATCTTTAGCTCATGCACGATTGTCATCACTGGCAGAAAACAGCGGAGTAAATGGCATAATTCATGTTCATTGCAGTAGTACAGAAGTTGAAGATTAGCAGTACAATTTGTGTCATTTCTCTATTGAATAATAGACATTCCTGTATAGTAGGCATCATTTTGCATTAATCTACCGGATCTTTTGCCCTGATGTGTGAACTCTTACTCATGTAAGCAAATCTTTTACTCTTCGTTTTTATATTCATGGTTGTACAGGATCCACCTCAAGGTAGCACACGACGAAGAAGTGCTAGCTCACAGGTAGGTGGGGGATATTTTAGGCATCGCGAATGTATGAAATGCCAGATTGGGTTTAGAGTAGAGAGTTATTAGTATTAGCTGATTGAGTTTCTTGTTAAAGCTGCACAATCATGACCGTGGGTATAATCGTAGGCTCTTCAGCTACAAGCACCATCAGTAGCTTCTTCATTGTCAAACGTATCTGGCTCGTCAGTATCACTGGCGGCTTTGTTACCTCACCTGCAAAATGCTCTAAATCATGCGGTTATGCAACAGGTAATTCCGAAACTCCCTGACATTGTGAAATCTACTCTCTGGTTTGATAATCTTGTGCCTAGAGTTGTTTGAACACTGGGGCCTTCAATCGCTCGTCCTTTTTCGTGATAAAAAATTCTTCTGCTATTTCTGTAGTGGTGTCTCCAGTCGTGGAAAGCGTTATTTTCTCGTGCTCAAGCTTCACTCTGCATTTTTTTATCAGGATTGAGAATTTCGTAGTAATTGAATCGCAGGATACCCTCATGAATTTGCTGAATAGCATAAATGCCAGTGAAGCGTCATCCTGTGAGCCTTTCTCTTTTACCCCGGTTCTTCAGTCCCTTGAATGCATATCGGTGTATAAACACCAACTTCGTTACTGTAAGGCCTAAACCATCAATACTCCTAACATCAAAGTTTGTATTTCAGCTCTACGCAGAAGTTCACGGAGCTCAAGTTCCCACTCAGTAAGCACCCATCTTATATTACAACATGTTTCTTCTGCGGTACAAATTAGCTAGTGCCTAATAATGTGGTGTATTAGGTACCAGTCAATCAGCAAATCAATTTACCTTGACTTTTGGGCATTATTTGCAACGTTTGCTGATACTTATCCTTCAGATGACGGAGATATCGAGTGACAGAGAAAAAGAACTTCTTCATCAGATTGCCGAATTCCAGAGCAAGATTTCTGTCCTTGTGGATGAATTGCAGGCTTTGAAACTCAAAAACATGTCGGTAAGTTGGCCTCTTAATTGATTAGTTCATTCCTCCACTTTGGTTTCAAATCTGGTCGGATCTAAAAAGGTGGTATTTCTCACGGTGGCGTGGAAGTTTGATTGACCTCAATAAATGTCAAACTCAACTTGGGTGATGATTTGCAGCTGGAGCGACAACTGAATGCTCACCATAACAGGGAAAAAGAGGAGCGAATACGAAAACAAACTAATATTGGAGATGGATGAGAAATCACCTTCATCAAATAAATCACGAGAGAATTTGCAATTGCAACATGGTCAATATCGCTAGTGCATCAACAAGTAGCCATCTCAAATTCTGCAAAATTTTCTGATGAGCTTGAGGTTTGTATCTCAAACACATCAGATATCATAGATTCACCTCTTCGAACAGACTGAAACCCAGACTCTTATCGCTGAAATCTAATAGGTTTTCAAACATTTCAAAAAAAAATTCACATTGGTAAGAGCTCGTTGAATTGTTGTACAATCTCAAACAACGTTCAGCAATTTTGCATCGAAATGAATACACGTCATGAACTTGTGACCACTGAATGCACATGCTCTAATCAGAGTTTTACGAGCTTTACATCGAACAATAACATGGAAACAAAAGTTCTGCCAACCCACCAACAATATCAATATTTTCAGGCTTTAACGGCAAAATTTCGAAGCCACAATGTGGTGGAGCTAACAGTTTAGTTAATGATCATCACTCCGATATGTTCCGAGGTGAGCAGGTCTCTTGTTGATGACGTCATTTCTAATCTGTGTCTCGCTACTGAGGGCTTGCTGGATTCCAATACGCGCTGCCAATTAACGTTTGTGCTTGTCGATCTAATCTTCATAAATTGTTGGGCTCTCACAGATGAAGTTGTTCACAAATAGACCGTGCACCTGTTAAGGTTCCAGATTTTGTACTAATTTTGCATAGCTCAACAAATCTGGCTGTCATGATGCGTGGATTTGTATAACGAAGCATTGGCCTTCAATTCCAGTTGTTTGAAGCAACTCTGCGCGTATCCTTGGAACCTCAAGCGAGCCTCAAATCATAGCTCTTAGAGTAATGAAGAAGCACTTGGCAAGTGGAGGAATGAAGTCGCTTGAGGTACTCGACAACTCTTTACCACGACTATGCCTCAATGTTGACATGAAGGCCATTAGAGCCACTGCAACATCTTTTAGAAGTCTCCATCACACAGCCATACCACCAACTTCAGTTGATGTGAAAGCATTTCTGTTAAAGGAAAAAATGTGACTGTCCCTAAGTGTTTGCGGTGAAGAAAAGCTCAACTATCGTTTATTGAACATGGCACTTTTGGTCTCGAAATTCAGGAAAGCCTGGGAATCTGTGGACTCGGATTAGAAGTGTGTCGGTGAGGAGTCGTGGCGTGAGGGAGGATCTGGCTGATAATTGTGCAATCGATTAATACAACTCATGGGATGCAAACCTTTGTGAAGTAAATTGTTCCCTCAAGGTGAGACTTCGCTGTTGAATTGCGACTTGGGTCGCGTCTCTTCTAGCATTATTGACGAGGTCTATGTTCCTTCTTTACCCACCTCACTACCTTTGTTTCATTGCACCATTTGCTGCAATCAGCCCTGCTGGTTCTGGAACTCTTCTGCTTCTCGGTGACACTTTGGCTATGGAAAAATGCTGCTTTGTTTGAAAGCCAGCCTTGTGTGAACTCTTTCAGTTTTGAGCCTCTGTGAATTAACCAAACGGCCGTTTCTGGCCTTGCTACTCCTGCAAGAGAGCAACACAGAGGCCTTGCTCATGCAGCAAGCACTGCGTCTCTCATCATATAATGTCAACACACGACCACATTGCTGCAGGTTTAGGCCTCAGGGTATTCTAGCCATAGCTCTGCAACAACGCTTTAGTCTAGTTCCGAGCTTTCACTGCAAACGCTACGGCTCAAATGAGATTGTAGAAAAATTCTTCTTGTAACACCAAATATTAGCTTTATTATAAATAATAATAATAAAAATCTGACACGAAAAACTGTGCATTATTTTATAATAATGCTAATAGGTTAATGACTCAAAACTAATCAGGTTTATTGAAAATAAAATAAGCTCTATATATTTCATTACATGTTTTATACATCAATAAATGTTAGGGTTTTAGATTCAAGATAAATATAAAAATCATAAAATTTTATTTATTTTTTCATAAATTATTTGCTACAAAAAATTATAAGTGTTATTAAAACAATTTATTAACTTTTATTATGATTATTATATGCATTTGTATCTTACTTTAAGTTATTTTTTTAAATAAAAAAGATTCATTTTTTAGTACATTTAAAATCTAAATAATTTTTAAAAAAATCAAAAGATGTCTGATTTTGTTACTCATAAGAAAAAAAGAAAAAAATATTTAATGATTATAAATAAGAGAATATATACTTATATTTGTATCTTTATTTTTAATTAATTTATTTTTATAAAAATTATATTTAAATATATTATAAAATTTTAAATGATTAGTATTTATTATTTTTGGAATAACATTTTTTTAATTTTTTAAATTATTATGGCACATTGTTTATTAACTTAAAAGTTGTAAATCCAATTCAAATGATATTAAATATTTTGAAGCTTTTTAACAACAACAAAACATAATATGGATGTATGTGTAAAACATAGCCTTTCAAAAGCGTCACTTAATTTTTATAAATAAATGATTTTTATTAAGTTTTTAAATTTTTATACTACATACTCAAAATTAAAAGAAATAATTATATTTGTTAAACTTATACACAACATAGAATTAATTGATATATTTATTAATTTTTTATTAGCTTATAATAAATTGATGAATTAATTTTAAAAAATATTATATGAATACAAATATTATATATATATATATATATATATATATATATATGAATCAGATTTCAAAATAAATCATGAAATATCATAATTTTACTAAATGATAGCATATATTTATCTAAATATGAATACAGAACCAAATATGTTGCTCTATTTCATCGCAATCTACAATAGAGACCATACATTTACTCATATAAATACTAAGGCATAGATGTTGATCCATTTAGTTTATATGCATTTTTTTCTTTTATGTTATAATTCATTGTTTTAAAATTAAATCAAACAATTAATTGTAATGTTGCTTTACTATAAGGTACCTTCAATCACTTGAAAATCTCACCAAGGCAATGTTACTTATGAAACCATTCCAGAATGAACCTTACCAGCCTTTCCGAATTTCTTAGTCCATTCAAGTGCCAAATTAAGTTAAGCCACAATCTTATGGTGCAATGCTACTTCATGGCGCAATGCCTACTTAAGTTATATCATAATTATTGGCTACCACAATACACACGATATTATATCTCATCCTTAAAATGACGTATCGTCACCTCAAGCATCTTCCATTGCACATTGCTAGATTATCGTCTCGTATCATTCATTAGAAGTCAATTGACGAGATGTCTCTTGTCTTTCAAGTCTCTTCCTAACTCGCTTAAGTTACTTAGTTTCTTAAGATGCCTTAGACATGGGCTTGTGTGCTACTTAGGCACTTGAGTCCTATTGGAATTAAAATATTCTTCAACTTGTTTTACACCCTTATATGAGATTCACCTCAAGATGAAGAAGGTGGTTCTCTCAACCACTCCATTGCCAACATGCCTTGAATTCTCCCTCGACATTTAGGAGTTCTTAGCCCATACTTAATTCAAGCAAGTACAAGGGTTGGGTCCATTAGATCCTTATACTTTCTTCCACTTTGGAGGATAAATGTCCTCATTCATAATTTGGCCTCTTATAAGTGAAGATTTTTCATGAAGTAGAACTTGTTCCTCTTTAGAATGCCTTAGCATTGTTTGCATCCCATGTTTAGGTTGCATGAGGGTTTTCTTTTCTATCTAGTCCCTACTTTTGTTCCTTTACTCAAAACTTTAAGATTTTATTTGTATGAATGAGATAGGATGCTACCTCCTTCTCACAAAATATGTAGTCAACTGTAATTTTCACAAGTTTCTCTCAACTATTGGATAAGAAAGCCCACACTTTCGATTGTAAGTCATGAGAACTTCTACTCCACTTAGACTTGCTATGGCTATTAAACTCCTTATCTAAAGCCTGCCTCACCTTACTATCTTTTTTTTTTATCATATAGAGGTCATTTGTAGTCACCTAATAAGAAATTCATTTGTGAAAGGCCAACCGTTTAGGCTTGGTTGCTAGGAGCTTTGTATCCGCCTCATACAAGCTTCTCAAGGTTGCCTTCTACAAAGTCACCTTGGGTTGAAATCTTTTCAAACCTTTCATTTGTTGAGAAACTTACACCATAATCCTTTCACATTCACGTCCTCAAGCTTTTCTAAGTCTCAGTCCCTTCACTCTCATGATTTGCCCACATTGTGAATCTTGGACCTTGTGAATTTTTTTGAATAATTTACACCTATTTTTGGTGCTTTATATAAGATTTTCTCTGTAACCCTCTCAATCCTACTTGGATTCAAGTTGCCTTCATCTTTGGATCCATACACAATTTCTTTTTTTACAAAATGAAGAATCTTAATTCTTCAATTGCTTCTATGTGGATTTCAACTTCTCATGATCATCCATTTTCTTATTGAAATCAATCACCATCCCTTGCATATGCTTTAAGTTTCTATCATCAGTCCATTGAAATTCATGCAAAGGATAAACTTTAAAGGTGCAAAAATATTGAACTCATCTGACATTGATATGCTTCTTGTCAAGTATTATTGATATTTAATCTATGATTTGGTCACATATTTCTTCTTGAGGTAGAATATGTGTCTTTTCTTTATGGAAGCCTTTGCCATTATCTACAAATTTCTTAAGAATATTTACATGAAAGATCGGATACCACTTCAATCTCTTAGAAATGTCTCACACATAAATATTCTTGTGCAATATCCTTTCAATTACATAAGAGCTTGCCCATTTTTGGATCTACTTGGAAGTGACATACAAAGGTAAGTAAAATTATTCATATTCAACCATACTTTGTCTCTCCTTTTATATTACATATTCTGCCTATACTTATCAACTTACTTCTTGTACCTACTTTGAAGTGCTTCTGATCTTTTCTTAGTAGCATTCATGATGATTTTCCTTTGAGCCATCTACCTTACTCCTTCTGTTGAGTAGAACCTAGAAGTATTATTGTCACTTTTTTTGACTTCAATTAAGTCAATTGGCTTAAGTGCATCAAAGCCATGAATCACTTAAAAAGGTGTGTTACCTAAAGACTCATTCCAATTAGTATTATAATTAAACTTGGCTATGGACAGCTACTTGATCTAATCTTTATAGTTACTTACCACATAGTGTCTCAAATATATTAAAAAAATATCATTGATTTTTTTAGTTTGGCCATTGTCTTGAAGATGCCAAGCCATTATAAATATGATTTTAGACTCCAATTTCGTCATAATATGCTGCCAAAACTGAGCTATGAAGCAAACATCTTTATTGCTCAAAATCTAAGTTGGCACACCATGCAAAGAGATCCAAGAGTCAA